CTCCATTCTTCTACCCTCCCCTCTAGTAGTCCCCAGTGTTTATTACATTCTTTTTTTTTTTTTTGAGACGGAGTTTCAGTCTTGTTACGCAGGCTGGAGTGCAATGGCTCGATCTCAGCTCACCGCAACCTCCGCCTCCTGGGTTCAGGCAATTCTCCTGCCTCAGCCTCCTGAGTAGCTGGGACTACAGGCGTGCACCACCGCGCCCAGCTAATTTTTGTATTTTTAGTAGAGACGGGGTTTCACTATATTGACCAGGGTGGTCTCGATCTCTTGACCTCGTGATCCACCCGCCTCGGCCTCCCAAAGTGCTGGGATTACAGGCGTGAGCCACCATGCCCAGCCCTTCATTTTTTTTTTGAGACAGAGTTTTTGCTCTTGTTGCCCAGGCTGGAGTGTGATTGCTATGGTGCAATCACAGCTCACTGCAACCTCCACCTCCCGAGTTCAAGCAATTCTCCTGCCTCAGCCTCCCGACTAGCTGGGATTACAGTCACCTGCCACCACATCTGGCTAATTTCTGTATTTTCACTATGTTGGCCAGGCTGGTCTCAAACTCCTGACCTCAGGTGATCCTCCCACCTTAGCCTCCCCAAAGCTCTGGGATAACAGGTGTGAGCCACCGCGCCTGGCCCCACCCAATTCTTAAAGTGTTTAGCAAATTCTAAAACACACAACTGTCCTGAGACTGTTGCCTGGAAGCCTGCCCCAGGGAAGCCATGAGAACCCTTCAATGGCAGCCCTCTTGTGCAGCCTAAATTGGGCCCACCCTCACCCACCCAGGCACACCTAGCCTCTGTGGCACCTCCTGGGTGAAGGCACTGCTATTCTAATGTTGCCAGGGGCTTTCCACAAATGTCTTCACACCTGTGAGTGTCTCTCTTCCAAAGCCCTGCTTCAAAGAGGCTCTGACACCGAACACGACCCACCTGCCTCCCTGCCCACTTCCCACAGCATGTCATCCAAAGGCATGGCAAAGAAGCCAGGTGGTCCCATCCGAGCCTGTGCTGTAGAGCACACTCCCTGGCCTACCAGGAGCTGTACTGTGTGAATCTGGCTGATTCTCTGGGAAGTTCTTTTAAAAATAAAAGAGGAAGCCGTGCCTCAAACCCCCCAGTAGAAGGACTGTGACCAAAGTTTGGCTCCCCTGAAGATCAGACTCTCTCAAATCTCAGATCTAGAAATGCTACCACCTGGAAATTCATGTAGAGTTTAAACTTTCATTGTTTAGCTCCCACTTACAAGTGAGAACATGAGGTTTTTGACTTTCAGACATACAGAGGAGAATAAAAGACACTGGAAACGCCAAATGAACAGGAACGAAAGGAAGTAAAGTACACTTGGAAGAGGGCTGAGTGGGCAACTTGAGTGATCAAGTACATTAACTTCATACTTCCCCAACGACCACCAGTGCCACGGATTCAGGCTAGCTGGGTTAGTCTGAGGGGAAGCGTGGGAGGGACGAAATGTTATATTCAGGTGACATTACACCAAAGGCCGAGACTTCACCACTGTGCAATATATCCACATAACACAACTACATTTGTACCCTTAAATCCACCAAAAAAAATTTTTGAAAAATTTTAAAGCTTAAAATTTCAGTAAGACACAACTTTTTCCAGCATAAGAAACCATCATCGGGCCGGGTGCGGTGGTTCACACCTATAATCCCAGCACTTTGGGAGGCCGAGGCAGGTGGATCACGAGGTCAAGAGATCGAGACCATCCTGGTCAACAAGGTAAAACCCCGTCTCTACTAAAAATACAAAAATTAGCTGGGCATGGTCGCGCGCGCCTGTAGTCCCAGCTACTGGGGAGGCTGAGGCAGAAGAATTGCTTGAACCCAGGAGGCGGAGGTTGCGGTGAGCTGGGATCGTGCCATTGCACTCCAGTCCAGGTAACAACACCTAGACTCCGTCTCAAAAAAAAAAAAAGAAAAGAAAAAAACAGAAACCATCATCTAGCTCTCCCTTAAAACAAGAACTTCACTCTGTGGTTCTTGTGTGTCTCCCCTGTCCTCTCTCATCCTCTGTTTCTGTCATTTCAAACTAGTCAATTTTGCTGCTTGTAACAGATGTAGAAAAGGATTTTACGGAGAGCAGATTTTAAAACTGCTGTATTCTCAACACCTACACAATGCCTGGTACATTTTAAGAGCTTCACCAGTATCTGTTCAACAATTCAAAGCAGACATTGAAACAAGATTACGTCTATCTTCCACCACCACGAGTAACCCAGCTAGCCTGAATCAGTGGCACCGGGTGGTTGCTGGGGAAGCATGTAATTAATGATGGCACTTGGTAGGTCAAGTTGCCTGCTCAGCCCTCTTCCAAGTGTACTTTACTTCCTTTCGTTCCTATTCTAAAGCTTTTAAATAAACTTTTGGCTGGGCACAGTGGCTCACGCCTATAATCCCACCACTTTGGTAGGCCAAGGTGGGCAGATCACCTGAGGTCAGGAGTTCAAGACCAGCCTGGCCAACATAGTGAAACCATATCTCTACTAGAATACAAAAATTAGCTGGACGTGGTAGTGTGTGCCTATAAGCCCAACTACTTGGGAGGCTGAGGCAGGAGAACTGCTTGAGCCTGGAAGGAGGAGGCTGCAGTGAGCCAAGATTGTGCCACTGCACTCCTGGGCGACAGAGCCAGACTCTGTCTCCAAAAAAAAAAAAAAAAAATTCACTCCTGCTCTAAAATTTGCCTAGGTCTCTCCTTCCACCTTATGCCCCTCAGTGAAATTCTTCCTTCTGAGGAATAGAGAATTGAGGTTGCTGCAGTCCTGTATGGATTTGCCACCTACCGGGAGAATCACCAATACTTTGGTGCCTCGAAGGACTTGAGCCTGTTCCCTAGTGTAAGACACTTCCATACCCTGCCTTCCTTAGCTGGAGGCATTCAACTCCCCCATACGTGTTTTCTTCTCCTTTTCTCTCCTACTTACTAACCAAATCCCAGAACAATGCCTCTCAGCCATAAGTGACTGTGCCCCACCGGCTGCTCTCTCAGCATACCCTGACAGGTGGCTCACAGGGATGGCAAGGACCTCAGGTCCGCACCAGGTAGAACTGAGGCACTAATGGCCTCCTGGACAGGAGGCTCTCAAGAGTGGTGGATATAAGCCTAACACCGTGCAACATCTGGGGCTTAAAAATAATAATTAATAATAAAGGTCGGGGGCCGGGCGCGGTGGCTCACGCCTGTAATCCCAGCACTTTGGGAGGCCGAGGCAGGTGGATCACCTGAGGTCAGGGTTTCAAGACCAGCCTGGCCAATGTGGTGAAACCCATCTCTACCAAAAATACAAAAATTAGCTGGGCGTGGTGGTGGATGCCTGTAATCCCAGCTACTCGGGAGGCTGAGGCAGAAGAATCGCTTGAACCTGGGAGGCGGAGGTTGCAGAGAGCTGAGATCACGCCACTGCACTCCAGCCTGGGTGACAGACTAAGACTCTGTCTCAAAAAAAAAATTAAAATTAATAAATAAAAGCACAGTATGTAGGTATAAGAAACAGCATCTATCATGTTTGTTTAAAAGGCTGATCTGTTTCTTATTTACCAATTCCATTGAACCGCGTGAGCTGGGATGAAATACAAACACAGTTTTACTCAATTTTTTAGAAAACTTAACGAAAGCCTATGTTCAGATTTCCTTGGTTTTCCCATAAAGTCTTACATTTGGTGTTCATGTGTCCTTGGGCTCCTTCTGGTGTGATGGGCTTCAAGATACCATGACCTTCAGAGAGGACTGGTCAGGTGTATCACAAGATGTTCTTCTACTCCAGTTTGTGTCCTTTCCTCATGCTCATGCTAGGGCCGTGGACTGGGGAGGTGAGGTGCCTTCTCTGGCTGTCCCATCCATAAGGCCACGCGGGTGGACCATCTCACCACCCAGTCTTGAGGCCTGGCACGCGGACAGGTGCTCCCTGAAGCGTGGCTGTGGTGTGTGTATGCCTTAGGCACAGACACATCTACGTCCGTGGGAAATCATGCTTTGCTTTATTTAATTCCATTAAATTAAAATTTGTGGGAAGACTGCTTTCACTTCAAAGCTGAATTCCTTAAACTGTCCATGATTTTATATTTTCATTTGAGCCTGTCGGGCCCTTTATCTCATGTCTGCAGGCAGGCCTGGCTCGCTCAGGGAAAGTTTCACCTGCGTTCCGGAATGTCAACTATGAAATGAGTTTACTTTTTTTGACAACCCGTGACCCGGCGGCCACAGCCTTCCCAGGGAGCTCTTGATACCCTTCGTCTGAGAATGCGGCCAAGAACCACAGACTCTCTCCGTCTCTCTGAAAACCGACTGGTTCACAGACGGCCACATCTTGCGTCGGCGAAAGCGTCCCGTCCCGAACCTCCCAGCACAGATGCCCCGGCAGAGAGCTCGGCCCCCAGAGCACCTACGGGGCTGCGGCCCGGGCATGGCGCTGGGTCGGCTCGCGCGTTGTCACACTGACGGTCGCTGGAGTCACCTGGTGCAGGCGTAACTGCAGCGGGCTCCGTCCAGCACCCAGGCGGGAACGCAGCGCCCTGAGGCCCGCGGGGTCCTCCTACTGCACCCGCGTGGCGCCAGCGGGCGCGGAAACCCCAGGTCTCGCTCTCCCGAGCGCACCCCAGGAGCGGGCCGCGCGCCGGGCTCCAGCACCCCAGGAACGCGTCCTCTGAAGACGCCCGACCCGGGCTGCGGGCCCCAGCGAGGGTGACCAGGCGTCGGGGGCGAGGCCGGGGCCGGGGCGAGGGAGAAAGTCGGCCGGGAAGGGCGCACGGCGCAGGCCGCTCCAGCCGCCCGGAACGGAGAAGAGCCGGACGCTCAGGACGCACCTGTGATGCCAGGGCCGCTCCGGGGGCCCCAGCGCCAGGACCCCCGGGGAGCACCCGCCCGCGCAGCCCGCGCCCCAGCCGGGTCCCGGCCCCGACCCGCCACAGCCCAGACCCGCCCCGGGCCCGGCCCCGGCGCCCCCAGCGGCGCCCGCCTCCCCCACACGCCCGCCCGCCCTACCTCGCCGCTTGGCGCGCACGATGCCCTTCTTCTGCAGCACGAACGTGGACCCGTTCACCAGGCTCGACACCACGGCCACGCCCAGGCCGAGCGACACGGCGGCGGGGCTCGGGCTGCGCGCCCCCTCCCCGGCCGCCGCCGCCGCCGCCGCAGCTGCAGTCCCCATTCCGCCCGCGCGCGCCCGCCCGCCCTCCGCGCCTGCGCCTGCGCGCCGCGCCCCGCGGGGGAGGGGGACCGGGAGGTGCGCGGGGGGGAGGGGGACCGGGAGGCGCGCGGGGGGGGCGGGGACCGGGAGGCGAGCCGGGGAGGGGGGTAGGGGGACCGGGAGACGCGCGCGGGGGAGGGGACGGGGGCGGCGGCCGGAGTCAGGGGAGGCGCTGGGTGGGGCGGGGCTCCCGGGTTCCCAGATTTCGCCCATGGAACTGCGGGACGCCGGGGTAAGTTTCCAGCGCCGAGTAGCGCGCGGCTTTCTGAGTGATGCCCCCAGGGCCGGGTCCCCCGCAGAGCCCTCAGCCGAGGCCGGCCCAGCCCCCGGAGCGCGAAGGGGACCCCGCCACCTTCCTCTCAGCCCTGCCCGCAAGACTCCGCCACCTCCACGCCAGGCGCTGGGCTCCTGCTGGTACCGTCTAATTCCCTCATTTTAATAAACTATATCAAAATTACAGAAAGCTTGAAAAACAGGAAAAAATGTTTTAAAGGGACTCAGTTTCACAGTTCTCACCTAATTATGACGACTTTAGGTGTTTTCCCATATGTGTACATACTTTTACATGTTTCCAATTACAATATTCGAAATTTCCTTTTTTATTCAATATTATATCACGAACATTTCGGTATCGCTACATAATTATGATTATTCTAATGACAGTATAATAATTTGTGTGACCATTCAACCATTGCTGGGTGTTAGGTTGCTACCAGGTTTTCTTTACTATAAATGATGCCACAGGCCTGCCTCGGTGGCTCACACCTGTAATCCCAGCACTTTGGTGGCAGAGTCTGGTGGATCGCTTGAGCTCAGTTCAGGACCAGCCTGGGCAACATAGCCAGAGTCTCTCTTTAAAAAAAAATTTTTTTTAATTAGCTCGGCGTTATGGCGCGTGCCTAGCCCAGCTACTCTGGAGGCAGAGGTGGTAGACTGGCTTGAGGTGGAGGTTGCGGTGAGCCATCTTTGCACCCCTGCACTCCAGCCTTGGCGACAGAGCAACTGTCTCACAAACAAACGAAAAGTTTAAACTTTTTTGCAGCTTTGCGTACTGCATTATTATTTTGTGAAGCAACATAAAATAACAATATTTCCGCTTGAAAACTTTTACACTGAATGAATAGCCATCGCTGCTTATTTTTATTGTGGTAACATGTATAGCAGATGCCATTTTACCACTCTCAAATGGATGATTCACTGGCATCACTTACACTTACGCAGTGTTGTGAAACCATCACCACTGTCTGCTTCCAAAACTCTCCATTACCCCAAACAGAAACTCTGTTGCCACTAAGCAGTCATCCCGTCTCTTCCTCCCCTCAGACCCTCATAACTCTAAACGGCTTTGTGTCTGGATGAAATTGTCTATTCTAGGTATGGAATACAAGTGGCGTCACGCTGTATTGTCCTTCATGGCTGGCTTATTTCGCTTGGCATAATGGTTTCAAAGTTCATCTATACTGTACCATGTGCCAGAGCTTCATTCTCCCAACTGTCTGGGTGCTCTTCCGTTGTGCGTACATGTATACAACCTTTTGTTCATCTATTCACCTGCCCACAGACTTGGGTTCCACCTGTTGGCGGTTGTGAAGAATGCTGCAGTCAACACTGACGTAACCCTATCTGTATGAGTCCCCAATGTAGATTCTTTTGGAGACATACCTAGCAGTGGAATTGCTGAGTCATAGTAATTCTATGCTTGACTTGAGAAACTGCCAAACTGTTCCACCGCAGTGGCATTTCTACATTCCCACCAGCAATGTTTGGGCTCCACCCTTTCCACATTCTCACCAACACTTGTTATTTTCTGGATGTCTTTTTTCTTTTCTTTGTTGTTGTTGTTGTTTTGTTTTGTTTTGTTGCCATCCTAGTCGGTAAAGTGGTTGATTCTTCTTTTTAAATGTACTTCTTCCAGCCAGGATGTATTTAAAAAAAAAAAAAAGATTAAAAAAAAATGTACATCTGAAGTCCAGGCACAGTGGCTCATGTCAGTAATTCCAGCACTTTGGGAGGCCAAGGCGGCTGGTGACCTTGAGGCCAGGAGTTCAAGACCAGCCTGGCCAAAATGGTGAAACCCTCCTCTCCTTTTTTTTTTTTTTGAGACAGAGTTTCGTTCTTGTTACCCAGGCTGGAATGCAATGGCGCGATCTCGGCTCACCGCAACCTTCGCCTCCTGGGTTCAGGCAATTCTCCTGCCTCAGCCTCCTGAGCAGCTGGGATTACGGGCACGCGCCACCATGCCCAGCTAATTTTTTGTATTTTTAGTAGAGACGGGGTTTCACCATGTTGACCAGGATGGTCTCGATCTCTTGATCTCGTGATCCACCCACCTCGGCCTCCCAAAGTGCTGGGATTACAGGCTTGAGCCACCGCGCCCGGCCTCGAAACCCTCCTCTCTATTAAAATATGAAAAAATAGCCAGTGTGGTCCCACTCAGGAGGCGGAGGCACAAGAATTGCTTGAGCCAGGGAGGCAGAAGTTGTAATGAGCTGAGATCCCACCACTGCACTCCAGGCTGGGTGATAGAGCAAGACCCTGTCTCTGTCTGTCTGTCTCTCTCTCTCTCTCTGTGTATATATATATATATATGTATATACTTCTGCAAATCCATGGTTTTTCTTGAAATAAGTAAAAACTTCTTTCATAAACCTCAGAGAAGCAAGCAAGTGAAAGCAGCGGCAACAGCAGTGCCAACATAATACAATTATTCACTTAACTAATACTGCCAGGCCAGGCGCTGTGGCTCACGCCTGTAATCCCAGCACTTCCGGAGGCCAAGGTGGGCGGATCACAAGGTCAACAGATCAAGACCATCCTGGTCAACATGGCGAAACCCAGTCTCTACTAAAAATACAAAAATTAGCCGGGTGTGGTCCCACGCACCTGTGGTCCCAGTTACTCCGGAGGCTGAGGCGGAAGAATTGCTTGAACCCAGGAGGCAGAGGTTGCAGTGAGCCAAGATTGTGCCACTGCACTCCAGCCTGGTGACAGAGCAAGACTACCTCTCAAAAAAAAAAAAAAAAAAACACCTAATATTGCCGGTATTTTTTCTTTTGAAACGGAATCTCACTGTATCATCCATGCTGGAGTGCACTGGCATGACCTCCACTCACAGCAGCCTCTACCTCACAGGTTCAAGCAATTCTCCTGCCTCAGCCTCCCTAGTAGCAGGGACTACAGGTGCACACTACTACACCTGGCTAATTTGTTTTGTTTTGAGATGCAGTTTCGCTGTTGTTACCCAGGCTGGAGTGCAATGGCACGATCTCTTTTATTCCCCCTGTGCACCCACCGCAACCTCTACCTCCTGGTTTCAGGCAATTCTCCTGCCTCAGCCTCCTGAGTAGCTGGGATTACAGGCACGTGCCGCCATGCCCAACTAATTTTCTGTATTTTTAGTAGAGACCGGGTTTCACCATGCTGACCAGGATGGTCTCGATCTCTTGACCTCATGATCCACCTGCCTCGGCCTCCCAAAATGCTGGGATTACAGGCTTGAGTCACTGCGCCTGGTCATTTTTTTGTATTTTTAATAGAGATGGGGTTTTGCCATGTTGGGCAGGCTGCTCTTGAACTCCTGACCTCAGGTGATCCTCCTGCCTCAGCGTCCCAAAGTGCTAGGATTACAGGAATGAGCCACTGTGCCCGGCGCCCTAGTGCCAGTATTTTTTAAAAAATAATGATTTCAGTACTTTTGGCAAAAAGATGCATGCTCTTTTTTTTTTGAGACAGAATCTCACTCTGTTGCCCAGGTTGGAGTGCAGTGGCCTGATCTTGGCTCACTGCAACCTCTGCCTCCAAGGTTCAAGCAATTCTCCTGCCTCAGCCTCCCAAGTAGCTGGGACTACAGGCATATGCCACGACACCTGGCTAATTTTTATATTTTTGGTAGAGACGGGTTTTCACTATATTAGCCAGGCTGGTCTTGAACTCCTAGCTTTGTGATCCCCATGCCTCGGCCTCCCAAAGTGCTCGGATTACAGGCATGAGCCACCACACCTGGCCGCATGCTCATTTTTCAAAATAAATAAATGCAGTAAATACCGAAGAATAAAAACCAGCCCAGGCCGGGCGCGGTGGCTCACGCCTATAATCCCAGCACTTTGGGAGGCTGAGGCGGGTGGATCATGAGGTCAAGAGATCGAGACCATCCTGGTCAACATGGTGAAACCCCGTCTCTACTAAAAATACAAAAATTAGCTGGGCATGGTGGCACGTGCCTGTAATCCCAGCTACTCAGGAGGCTGAGGCAGGAGAATTGCCTGAACCCGGGAGGCGGAGGTTGTGGTGAGCCGAGATCGCGCCATTGCACTCCAGGCTAGGTAATGAGCAAAACTCTGTCTCAAAAAAAAAAAACCAGCCCAAATCCCATGACCCCAAAGTAACTATTATTACCATTAAGAATTTTACTCCAGGCTGAGTGCAGTGGCTCACGCCTGTAATCCCAGCACTTTGAGAGCCTGAGATGGGTGAATCACCTGAGGTCAGGAGTTTGAGACCAGCCTGGCCAACATGGTGACACCCCATCTCTATATTAAAAAAAAAAATTTTACTCTGGACATTTTTCCATGGGAGTACATAGGTTAAATGACTGACATATTTTATCTGCTGGGGAAACACATGCAGCATTTTAATTAAAAACATAAAACTATATTTTGCTTGAATTTAACAAGAAAAACAAATGAAACTAAAGTAACGACTAAATGATAAACATTATTTTGCCATGAGATATTGCTTTCTAAAAGATACACCTAAAATCAAAGTTAATAGGCTCCATACCGTGGCTCATGCCCCAGTAATTTGGGAGAGTGAAGCCAGCAGATCACTTGGGCCCAGGAGTTTGAGACCAGCCTGGGCAATGTGGTGAAACCCCATCTCTGTAAAAGAATACAAAAATTAGGCGGGCCTGGTAACATGTGCTTATAGTCTCAGCTACTCAGTAAGCTGTGGGAGGATCATTTGTCGCAGGAAGTTGAGGCTACAGTGAGCCATGA